AGGGAAGGGAAGATGGATGCAAGGAAGGAAGGAAGGAAGGAAGGAAGGAAGGAAGGAAGGAAGGAAGGAAGGAAGGAAGGAAGGAAGGAAGGAAGGAAGGAAAAAAGAATGAAAGGAAAGGAAAGGAAGTAAGAGAGGGAGAGAGACAGAAAGAAAGAGGGTGAGAAGAAAGAAAGAAAGAAGAAAGAAGAAAAGAAAGGAAGACAGAAAAAGGAAGACAGAAAGAAAGAAAAAGAAGAAAAAGTAAGAAAGAAAGAGAGAGAGAAAGAGAGAGAGAAAGAGAGAGAGAAAGAAGATCCACAGCCATGAACGAGAGAGCTACGTGAGAAAGTTTTGCTTGCCACACTAAGATGGGCGTTGCCACATCACGAGATCCGGCTGCCCTGGTGAAGTTGGCTTCCAGGGCCATTCAGTAGCTCTTTGTGTGGGAAGCCAGATTACAGGGAAGTTTCTGCCTTGACTTCAGATCTTGCCTTGCAAAGGTATCGCCAAGCACACGCAGGACTTGGCTGCCTCCCTCAAGGCTCTGCTCCAGAGGTTGGGATGGGGCAAGTGAGTCACCACGCCTGAGATTTGGAAGCTGCGAGGCTGAAATGGTTTTCCCAAGTTTACAAGCCCAGAAGTCACCAACGTGGAGGGTTGGACCTCAGGCAGGAGGGAAGGACCAGCGGGGCAAGGCATAAGCCAGGCGCCATCTTACTCATGGCAGATGAATGCCCATGCGCTCCGCATCAAAGGAGAAACAGCTGGAGTCGCTGGCATTGCCGGAATGGCACTGCCCGTCTCTTGCTGCTCCAAGGATCACATCTGGAGACTGCATCAGAAGATCCCATTCCAACCAGTGGGCGATGCCAGGCCGGAGAAATGGGTGGACCCGGGCCCCAACTAAATATGATTTAGTTCAAATAGGAATGTAAATAAATTAAACACAGCTAATATGATTAAGGGAAAGATTCCCCTGTGTCAAGCTTGACTTCCCAGTACACATCTGTGTACTTTTCTTGGCAATGGTGGAGACGTGGTTTGAAATGGCCTTCTTCCAGGACGTCATATTTTTACTCAAAATTTCCAGGTGACACAGGCTTAAGTTAGCCTCTGCTGGGCTAGCGTTCAAACGGTCTCTTCCCCCTTCTCCGGCCACCAACCAATTGCCAGATCTGTCGGCTTTGGAACCCGTGACCTTCAGGGAAAGTCCAGGGAAAAGGAGGAACTGGGACAGAGGTAGGAGAAGGGACAATAATGAGGACGGTCCATTTCATGCTGGGATTTTCTACTAAATCCAAGATGGGTGGACAGCTGTGGCGAAAGGATCTAGAGCAGTGTTCCTCAACCTTGGTCACTTGAAGATGGATGGACTTCAACTCCCAGAATTCCCCAGCCAGCCATGCTGGCTGGGGAATTCTGGGAGCTGAAGTCCACCCATCTTCAAGTGGCCAAGGTTGAGGAACACTGCTCTAGATATTCCTTCCACAGATCGGTACATCCATGTGTCGGATCTAGAACTTCCACAATTCCAGCCCATCTGGATCGACTCCAGTTGCCCTGCTGGCTCTTCTTCTTCTCTCAAGCCAAGGAAACGCCAAGGAGCACAAAGATGCTGAGCATCAAAGACGGGAAACGTCTTTCGCAACGTCAAAGGGGGTGCCGAGTGCGAGTTGGACGCTGTCCACGCAATGAGGTGTTGCAAACATACACAAGTATGTTTCGATTGAACCCATCCGATTTTGACAGGGCGGTTTGCTCGGGCAAATAAAAGATGGATTTATTAGGAGGGAAAAGAAGGAGGGGGAAAGGTGGGAAGAGGCTAACGACGCCTAGAAGAAGACAGGGAGACCGATGCTGTTAATAATCAGCTTGGGCACATTTTCTCACTCCCTCCTTTTCCACAAGTTGTCCCTGTTTTTCCCCCAAAGATGGTCCACACAGACTCCTAATTCAGAAAAGTGGGCAGTGGGTTTGTTGACCTCCCTTCCTCCCTTTCGAGGTCTCGCTTTGGGGTGGCGTCACCTCCACCGCCTTCTCCAAATGTCATGTTTGCAGAGGTCTCCAAGAAAATGTTGAGGGCTTGCCCTTCTGGAGGCCTTTCATCCAGGAGCTAAATTTAAAAGCAAGCGAGCGAGCGAGCAAACTGCAGGCTGGTGGGGACCGGTTTGGGGCCGGGCCTCTGAAAATCAAAACGAAGCAACTTGGGTGGGGAAGCCCCCTTCCAGGGTAACCTAAGCCAAGGGTTGCACCGAGAAAACAAGCAGAGCAGGGGCGTCTGCGGAGCATGGTCAAAAAAGTCAAGATGGTGGAGGCAATGGTGTGATGAAAGCTCTGGCTGTTTTTGATACACAAAGTCAAATAGTTTGGTAGGAGTATTCAGAAAAAAATGTCATGCTATTTTAATAACAGAGAGGTCATATAGTCACAGAGCTGGAAGATAAAGCTAAGATTATGTAATTCACCCCTTGCCATAGGAAACACTGTATTTATATTTATATTTATTTTGTTTTATTATTTTGTTTTATTTTATTGGACTTAGAGGCCACCTGGCCTCCACTGACTCTGAGTGGCTTATACCACTAAAAGTCGAAAACAGTAAAAGAAAAGAAAAAATGCCCCAATGTATCTGTTAAGCAGCTTTCTAACCTCCGTTTTGAAAAGAGTCCCCTCCAAGAGGGTCCAATAGTCTACCTTCCCTACCATGGACTACAATTTCCAGAATTCTCAGCCGGCCCCCTCTGCGGAATTCTCCCACATCACTTCTGACGGATCTCTCTGTGTCGGGGCTTTGCGTTCAGCCACGTTTGCAGTATGGCACGGGGGCTGGTTGAGTAGTCGAGCCCATGTTGTTGGTGAATGGGGTTTTTGGGAGCCCCTTTGGATTAGTTGGGTGCGAACGATACTTTTATATACTACAGGGAGTCCTCATTTAGCGACTGCCTCGTTTAGTGCCTGTTCACAGTTATGACGGTGATGAAAAAGTCACTTGGCGACCCATCCTCACGCTTATGACCTTCGCAGGTCTGCAAAGCCAAGGAAAGCTGAAGTCAGATCATAAGCACGGCCACAGTTTCACTGAGCCACCACTTCACTTTATGACTGAGTTGTCAGTCCCAATTATGGTGGCTAAACGAGGACTCTCTCTCTCTTTCTCTCTCTCTCTCATTGTCTATCATCTATCTATATTTTCTATTGCATTTTAATTTTTGTTACCCACCTGAAGTTGCATTGTTGAGATGGGTGGCTATATAAATTGCTATATATAAATAACATTGTTTTTGCTTTAAAATCTTCCAGGCAATGGGATTCTGGCCGATCAGGGATCACAGAGTGATTCCAACAGGGGCCCTCGGCAAAGCCAGGGAACGAAGCGAAAACGTCACTAAACCAGTCCAGAGTTCCATTCAAGACAAATGTACGTTTTCACCCTCTCTAAACAATTCAATAATAATGAAAAATTGGGAAAAGGGACCCTGCACGCCTGTGCTGAAATCATAATTGGTTTGGTCGACTTAGCTTCATTCCGGTGCGTAACCTGCTTCCCCAAATCATTAGCAAACTGCAGGTCGCTTTTTAATTTTCTTTAACAGGACGCGACTTATTTGTTCAGTACAGGACTGCAGGTTAACCTTATTAAGAGGAGTTCATGCTATTCACTTAAACTGAGTTTTGATTTGGGGCCACCTTCTACTTTTCGAAGCGTGACGCTCTGCCTGAACGCGTCTCTGAAGCTGGAAAGAGTTATGTGGACCTCCTGCAGAAAAACGCCCGCGTCAAACAAAGCAAGGAACGGGTATTCCAAATAATTATTTTATTTTATTATTTATTAAACGGATTGGCCACCCGACTCTCCGCAACTCTGGGTGGTTTTAGAAACGCAGACCCTAAAAGAACCAGCTTTTCCATGCCGACGGGGCTGAGCCAAACACCCCAAGCCAGACAGAACCACAACTATACATTTAGGGACGTCGGTGATCAGGAGAAAACAGGGGAAGGAGAGAGATGAACTCAAGAGTGGATATTAAAGGCTGCAGGAGTTGATAGGAAGAAAAAAGAAAACTCATAGCAGACGAAACGATAGCCAAACGCTCAACGCTACTGGTGCGTCTGTGTGAAATTTTCAATTCTTTTGTAAGTGAAAAGTAAGTATCAGATGACCCGAGGCCTGCAACTGTATTAAAACAGCTCTTGGTAGCCATAAGGGCTAATCACAAATGTTGCTGGAGAAACGGGCAGCCGAGGAATTTACTCTTAGGGTAAATTTATATTCCACCCTTTCTCTAAGACAGTGTTTCTCAACCTTGGCAACTTGAAGATGGGTGGACTTCAACTCCCAGAATTCCCC